CCTCCTGCCTGTAGAGTCTGATGATGATGTCAGTAATGATGCATTTGAGCTATTCCGGGAATGCCGTCCGTTGGATAATCTTGATCTGTCATTGGATGCAAGAGAGTGGGAATCCCGGCGAATGTTCTTGTTTGCATAAATGTGAAGGTTGCCATTTGATTTAGCAACTCGGTGAGCAAATGACCTCACTACTCTTGCACTTAAAAGAGCCTAAACATGGGAAAAAATAAACATGAATTAAAGCTGTAAAACATGGAAAATATGAAAAAATAATAGAAGAGAAAAACATAAAAAATAAACAAGAATTCCAAAGCCTAAAATGGAAAATATTAACAAGTATTACAGGAGAAAACAGAGAAAATATAAACAAGCAATACAAGAGAAAACAGAGGAAATATAAACAAGCAATACAGGAGAAAACAGAGAAAATATTAACAAGTATTGCAGGATAAAAATATAAACAAGCATTTTTGGAGAAAACAGAGAAAATATAAACAAGCATTACTGGAGAAAACAGAGAAAATATAAACAAGTATTACAGGAGAAAACAGAGAAAATATAAACAAGCATTATTGGAGAAAACAGGGAAAATATTAACAAGCAATACAGGAGAAAACAGAGAAAATATAAATAAGCAATACAGGAGAAAACATAGAAAATATAAACAAGCAATACAGGAGACAACAGAGAAAATATAAACAAGTATTACTGGAGAAAACAGAGAAAATACAAACAAGTATTACTGGAGAAAGCAAAAAAAATATAAGCAAGTATTACTGGAAAAAAACAGATAATATAAACAAGTATTACTGGAGAAAAAAATATATATAACAAGTATTACTGGAAAAAAAAAACGAAAATACAAACAGGTATTACTGGAGAAAACAAAGAAAATATAAACAAGTATTATTGGAAAAAAACAGAAAAAATATAAACAAGTAATACAGAAGAAAACAATGATAATATAAACAAGTATTACTGGATAAAACACAGAAAATATAAACATGTATTACTGGAGAAAATAAAAAAAATATACAAGTAATACAGGAGAAAACAGGGAAAATTTAAACAAGCATTAAAGGAGTTTAAAAATACACACACACATACACACAAGAAAAATAAAGAAACAAGTATTAAATGGGTAAAAACATGGAAAATATTAACAAAACATGGAAAATATTAACAAAACATGGAAAATATTAACAAAACATGGAAAATATTAACAAAACATGGAAAATATGAATAAGAACTTGTCCCAAAAAACTGCACTACAGATCAAAGTTTATTAGTTCTTATTCTTATTCTTCACGATCATCAACAAAATGTTCTGGTTGTTCAACCACTGCTGGACTTTCGTCTTGTTCCAGAACCTGATGGTTGCTTGCCCATATGTTTTACAGATCTGGCTTATTAGTATGCAGACTGTTGGTTTCTTGCCTCTCAGGCAGATTCACTCCAACTTTAAAGGATGCCCCCGCTAGTCAACTTCTAAGGCATGCTTGCTGGGAAGACAGTTGGTCTATTCTCATTGACCCTACAATGCGGCCTAAACCCACACGGGAAAAAGTTTTATTTAATCCTAACAGATTACACTTAATAAATGTACTGTTTAATTACACTAAAAAGTAATGTAGTGTAAAACAGTGCATAATATTAGCTTTATAAACAAATTTTTATCAGGTTATATATTTTTTCAAAAGTAAATAGTTGATTTAAAAAAAATTTGGAAGAGACAAACATTTTCAACAAAATTTATTTAACACTACATGGTGAGGAAACCTGTTCAAGAAATATGAAATTGCTGTTTAAGAATTGAGGCCCAAGAGATGCAGAGATGCAGTATTTAAGTCATATTTCATCAAAATTGACAGGTTCTGGACAATCTAGAGGGACAAAAGAAAAGAATCAGAGAAATAAACAGATCAAAAGGCCTGACTGAAATATGTTGGCCACATTAAAAGAAATGAAATGCTTTCCCATGCCAAGAAAAAGTTGAAGGTTGGTGGGCAAGAGGTACACAGTGTATGGAAGACAAGGATAAAAAAATATGCTGTGATTTAAACAACGTGAAAAAAAAAAGCACACAGACAAGGAATCTTTAGTACGTTTGTGTGTTTGTTTGTTTTAGAATTCATATGTTACATAACTGTAGAATGTAAGGCAAATAGAATCTCCACAATAAGTTTATGAGCAGGTATAAAGTTAGATCTACAATGTAGTATCTTGAATTAGAAATAGAGGAGTAAAAGTAAGTAAGTAAAAGTGAAGGACCCTTTTCCACACCTTTAGGCGTATAGGGCATATAGGGCTAGACCTACATTTTTATAGACCAATCGGCACAAGATGGGTGATGTGGTCAGCATCATGCCGGCCGCCTCTACTTCCCAGGACTGCACCCGGTATCCACTCAAGGCTGAGTCGACCTGGGAGTCAAGGTCATTTTTTGAAAAAAGTCCAGCTCACCAGCTGTAAACTTTAGCGGACATTTCTGGTTGCTTGTCAACTTCTGGAACTTTGGTCTTCTTCAAAAAGTTGAGTTCTGCATATACATCCATTATACAGATGTGGCTTTTGTGTACTCCAACTTTGCAGAAAACACCATTAATTAGTTGATTTTTATGACAGGTTTTGTTAGGAATGGGGGTCAGTGGGGGAGGAGAGGGAGGGGAAGGGGGGTGGGGGAGGAGAGGGAGGGGAAGGGGGGTGGGTCTATTTTGTTTTCTCTCAACAATGGGACCCGGAACTCACACCAGATCAAGAAGGAGATGAATACTAAATGTGGGTCTGTAGAACCAAGGCAAGAAACAGTGGTTGGAGATCCACTCCAGTCAATCTTCATTGAGGAGACAATACTGTCTTTTATAATGAAATGTTGGTTAAGTTTTTAGTGCATTCATGCAATAATAGTTTAGATTCCTCAGGAAAGAAATCCTCTGTAGTTTACCATTGATTAGACATGTGACGTAAGCATCACTGACCTCTCTGCAACTGAAATAGTGGGGAATGAAACTGATTAATCCATTTAATAATGCTTAGCCTGTTAAACTGGAAGATATACTACCCTACAGCCTCTGGCAAGGCAGGAGAAGACAGCAGCAGTTATTTGATTATGTATGCCTTATGAGTCATGACAAGGCAGATGTTGTCAAGACCCTTTGGAAACAAGTAGCGAAATCAGAAGAAAAACTGGATTTGTATGGCCTGGAGAGAATGATGCACTTAGGTGTGACCAGAGGGCTTGGCCGGCTCCCTACACTCAGATAAAAAGCAAGACAGACACATAACCAGACTATGACAGGTGCCATTAGTATTGGAGCTCTGCACTGGCTGCTGATGATGGGGATGGAGTGCATATGGGAATGCTGTGAGTGATGTGATGTCAATTCTTGACTTAATTTGAGTCAGAAACGCACAAACTACAGGTTAGAGATGAGTCAAAAATGCCCCCATGCCTATTGCTGTGAAGTTCAGACTTCAGGAAACAATTAGGATTCACCAAAAGATGATATCAACATTCAGTTGTTGTTATAATTATTAGTTATTTTTGGATGCCGAGGCCAGCCTATACTACGATGTAAAGATGTGTGCAAGTGGGACATGAATGATACAGGTATTGCGGTAGATGTAAGGGAATGAAATGCCATGAGCCATGTTGCATGAAGTGGGCAAATCAGAGAATGAAGGTATAAAATATTGCAGAAGGTATTACAGCTGGGCGTCCGAGAGCAAGCATACTAAATACATGTGATGGCAACAACCGTCCTGGCAACAACCGTCCTGGCAACAATGGTCCTGGCAACAACCGTTCTGGCAACAACAGTCTTGGCAACAACCATTCTGGCAACAACCGTCCTGGCAACAACCATCCAGGCAACAACCATCCTGGCAACAACGGTCCTGAAATCCCACGCTATAATTTTTGAAACTTTTCTTAATGCAGACAGGTCTTTCTAGTCACACTCGCCTTTGCTATGGGCTGTGAGTCTCATTCTCCTTTCGGATTGTTTTTCAATATATTGTTTTCCATATCTCTGTCTTTAGTGCTATCTACATTTGTAGATTCTTGAAATAAGAATTAAGGGAGACTGGGTTATCATTTTCTAGATTTAATAACCTTTTCTTAATTTTATTTTTGAAGTGAACTCTTAAATGTTAAGTGTGTTTACTTATTCTTGTATCCCATTCAGTGTTTAGATTCAGTGTGTAGAACAAGGAAGCAATATTGTAAGCAAAAGCTAGATCATCAAGTTGCTAAATAAATATCCAAAGTCTTGCTGAATGCAACACTAGTTGTTGGTGTTTGTGGAAGAGGATGTGAATAGGAACATCAAAACATGGGCAATAAAAAAATCACCATTAGTCTGAGAGCAGCAGTCTATACTGGCCAAAGTTTTACCAATTTTTAGGGCAGGTATGGTATTGAGCTTGGGAATTTATAGCTGCATAGTTAGCACTGTCACTACAAGGTGTAAAGTTTGGGATTTGTTTTTTACCCAGACTAAAAAATATCCATCATGTTATTGAAGATTTGAACCCCAGTCTCCCAGATGACAGCACTGTGTTTGAAACATTCAGCCAAATGCTGCTCCGAGAGGCATCATGTAAATACTTGAAATTCTCTGCAAAAATTATTTTCAAGATGATATTGTTTTATTGTGACAAGATATTTTGAAAAGCAAAATGCAGCAAGTGAATAGAGCCTATAGAACCATGAAATAAAATTTAAAAGAGAAACAAATTTTTTTTTCTTTAACTCATACTATTATTATTAAGAGGTATACAGTGATATAAGAAGGACACAAAAAAAAAAAAAAAAGATAGATAAACAACAACAGGCTGTCAAAGTGTACCACTAGAGCAGTAGACAATATGCTGAATATCTCCTGCAACCAAAATGTATTAGGAAAACAAAAGCTTTGTTTATTTATTGACTAAACCTTATAAAAGAAAAAAAAAGACACATAAAAAGAATCCGGGTGCTGGCAAAGACATTAAATCACCTGCTTATTCAGCTTGACACCGTTGAGTTTGTGTTTGCGATGATAAAGAACAATGGAATCCAGGTAGGCATAAGGCTGTCCCTCCAGGTAATACAGGCTGTTGAGTTCAGTAATGCGGTAGTGCCTTATGTAACTTGCCAGTCTTAGAACACACAGGAGAATCATTAAGGTTTAGTAATACATCAGAAGCAGTAAGAACATAATGGATGATGTGCTAGCTTTCGTTCACAATAGTTCTAGCTTGAATTCACTGTGTAGAGTTGATCTAACATCAATTGTTCCCTCTCTCTGTGAATGTTCTAGGGGTCAGGATAGTCTCAGGGAGCTTAAGGCTATTGTTTTCTTATTATTATTCATCACTGTCTTTGTCATCATTGTCTTCAGTGCCTTCTTCATCATTTTCTTCTTTATCATCTTATTTGTCTTCTTCTTCCTTCATCTTCTTCTTTGTCACTGTCATCTTCTTTTTTCTTCTTCTTCTTCTTCGCGTTCACCAGCTGTACACTCTGGCGGAAAGTTCTGGTTGCTCGTCCACTACTGAACTGCAGACCTGCTCCAGAACCTGAGTGCTGCGTGTGCATCAGTTTTACAGATCTCATTCTCTTGAATACAGACTATTGGTTTCTTGCCTCTCCGGCAGATGCACTCCGACTTCAAAGGAAGTTCCCCAATTAGTCGACTCTTACGACATGCTTTTGGGGAGGCAGTGGGTCTATTCTTGTTTTCCCCACAATGGGGCCCCGGAACCCACACGGGGGAATCTTCTTTTTCATTTTCATTATCATCTTCATCCTTGATCTTCTTTGTCTTCTTCTACATTCCCTCCCCCTCCTCCTCCTTTTTCTTCTTCTTCTTCTTCTTCTTCTTTGCATTCCCAGCTGTAAATTCTGGGATAAAGTTTTGGTTATTCGCCCACCTCTAGCTTTCAGTCTTGTTTCAGAACCAGAGTGTGCACATCTGTTTTTGTGAATATTTTCTGTAAAATCTGGTGCTTTTTATCTGTAGTCTTTTGGCTACTGCAAGGGTGATTAGTTTCCATCTGTTATCATTTGAAATTATTTGTAAACTTTCCATGTCCACTAGATTTGTATGGGTGTTCTTTCTTCCTATTGTTTGCACTGAAATCTAAGACGATCAATATGTCCAATTTTTTAGCTTCATCTAAGATATTCTTAAGGAGATCAAAGAAATCTTCTTTAAGGGGTCACTACACGGCATTTTTCCCAATTTATGACAAAAATATCACTTTTTCAATGTGTTCGTTTTTGTAAAGTTCGGCATTCGTACAATAGATGACACAAAAAATGTATGTCATTGGTAAACAATTTAGCTTCGAAAAGTTAATACTAATGACACCACTTCGTGCACTTTTTTAAGATAAAAAAACTTTTAAAAGTAAGTTTTCTCAAATCTTTATATTTCAGTTTGCTGTGTGTGTGAAATCCTAAAATCTAAGCTAATATGAAGAGTAGAATCATCAAATTTTGTATGCATACTCCATAAACAATATTATAGGGACTGGTCTATCTAAAAGTAGATTTTAGAAAGTTTTTGTTTCTAAAATTTGATTATTGTCTTACGATGCTAGATTTTTTTTACTTTTTCAATAAACCTACATTTTAAAATTCTACGAAAAATATTTAAAAACATGTTTAAAGTAAATAAACTAGACCAGTACCTCTAAATAGGACGATAGGTCATGGATCTATCATCTATTGTTGAATACCTATGTTTGCTTTTAAAAGTTAAGGATTCTAAGTACATATTGTTTTTTTCACAAGATGGCGGCTATTGCCATGACAATTATGATTTTTTAACACTTAAAGTATACAAATGTAATAAAATGTATCCCTACAAATGGCCATTATAAAATAACTGCTCTAAGTCTGTAAATAAAAAAATAAAAATTTTTGGTGTAGTGACCCCTTAATATCATCTTCTTTACCTTTGGTGGGGGCATCATATTTTTCGATTTCCTTTCATTTGTAACTTACTGATCCTATCATTGAAAGCTTCCTAATTTTTAAGTTTTTTTAAAATGAGGAATCTTGTCCCTCTTTCATATTTGTTTTGAGTATTTCCTCCAATCACTATGATTATTAATTTTCCTCTATGTTACCTCGTCCTGGCCACCTGATCTCTTGAATCGCTGTTATATTCGTTATGCAATCCAATAACTCACGGGTCATTTCTTCAGCTGCTCCAGCAGGGGTTCGTATATTCCATGTTCCAAATCTCAAAAGTCCTTTAACAATCCAGTTTTGTTGTCCATTTAAATCCATCCAAAATCAAGGCTTAGATAACTGTTTCATGACAAAATTAAGTTTTACGAAGGTGGGGTTGTCGGCCCATGCTTTAATTCCCAACCTGGAGGACCAGGGTGTCTCTCTTTGTCTATTCTGTACTCTTTGACCTTTCAGGGCTTGGGAGGCTTAGCTGGTAGCTACGCATAGCTCTCAAGGTCGTTTAGAAACACAAGCTTCCCAACCGCGGCAAGGTGGAAACAACTCTTAATGTATGCTATTTTTTATTTATATTTTGCTTGCCCCTACTTTGCACCCACTTTTTATAGTGGTATAATACAACGGATCTTGAGCCTAAGGATTTAGGGTCACATGGCTGGGGCTGTTGCCTGACGTGGGCACATTCGTATGTTTACTTTTGCCCCCAGATGAGAGTACAGTGATCCAGCTAATCCTGCAATGTAATGTCAGAGCTCTAAATGTTTTTGTTTTTTTTAAATAATAAATTGTTCATTAAAAAAAAAAATAAAGTTACCTAACAGACAGAATGATCTTGCCACTCTCATGATCCTTATACAAAAGGAAATCACTGGGTTCAGTATCCCGCAGCACATTCTCTGCGTCGCTGATGCTGAACAAGATTGGCTGACTGTTGACAAACAATGTTCAAACAATTTTATCAAAGACTGACAGTTGACAAACAATGTAAAAACAATATCATCACATGCTCCAATCAATAACCACAAATCTGTTACACTATGAAAGAAAGAAAAAAGGAAACCTATAGCAACTGAGAGGTACATCATTTGTCATAATTTTGACATTCATATGCTTTGTAATGTAATTAATTTGACATTCATATTCTTTGTAATGTAATTATTTTGACATGCATATTCTTTGTAATGTAATTATTTTGACATTCCTATTTTTTGTAATCTAATTATTTTGACACTCATATTCTTTGTAATTTAATTAATTAAACTATTCAAACTGCACACAAGTATACCTTAGGGTTCAACCTTCATCTTTTTCTTCTTCTTCTTCTGTCATGTGCTTGAAATAGATTATCAATATCTACAATGATGTCTCTAGTATGAACTTCACTGTCTGTTGTAATTCCCTCAGTGACCCGTAAAGTTTGACTTGCACTGATGTTTCTCTAGGCCAAAAGTTTTACCTTGATCTGTTGTATCAGGGACAGTCTTGGAGGACATGATCTGTTGTATCTGGGACAGTCTTGGAGGACATGATCTGTTGTATCTGGGACAGTCTTGGAGGACATGATCTGTTGTATCTGGGACAGTCTTGGAGGACATGATCTGTTGTATCTGGAACAGTCTTGAAGGACATGATCTGTTGTATTTGGGACAGTCTTGGAGAACATGATCTGTTGTATCTGGAACAGTCTTGGAGGACATGATCTGTTGTATCTGGGACAGTCTTGGAGAACATGATCTGTTGTATTTGGGACAGTCTTGGAGAACATGATCTGTTGTATTTGGGACAGTCTTGGAGAACATGATCTGTTGTATTTGGGACAGTCTTGGAGGACATGATCTGTTGTATCTGGAACAGTCTTGGAGAACATGATCTGTTGTATCTGGGACAGTCTTGGAGAACATGATCTGTTTTATTTGGGACAGTCTTGGAGGACATGATCTGTTGTATTTGGGACAGTCTTGGAGAACATGATCTGTTGTATTTGGGACAGTCTTGGAGGACATGATCTGTTGTCTTAGGTGCCAATCAACATGTGCACATAGCTGATTCGCTGATTTCAAATGTTATGTACATGTGGCTACGAAAGTCAATTGTATCCTGTTATAAGGCGTAAAATAATAACTTGCTCTGGTTTGTCCAAATTATGGTAATCGTCTTGTGCCGGTTTTGGTGGCTTTCTGATTGATTTGATTATTTTTCTTCTGTTGATAAGAGACTGGTACGCCAGGTTGTTCTTCATTATCAGTTCTTTCATTTCCAGGAACTCCGCAGTGGGATGGTATAAATTGCATAGTTACTTTACACCGACTGCCTAGTTTGGATATTAGTGTTTGTATACCAGGTAATTTTTCCAGACTGGAGTGCCTGAAGTATCGCTCCTGCATCTGTCAGGGATACTACGGGTTGTGAAACATAAGGTATATTTAACAGTTTCTCTGCTGCTACTTTGATGGCTTGAACTTCTTCATCATATTTGTGCCAGTGCTTTCCTGTAGGTTTTTTGGCTGTATATCTGGTATTATTTAGATGCTCAGTATACACTCCTGCTCCTCCATTTTAACCAATCAGTTGACAAGTTGTTTTGCTTCTGGGTCATCAATAATTTTTAGGCATACACTCTTTACAGTTAACTAATAAAAACAGGCCATCAGATAACTTTTGTTTTTCTAAACAGTATATTTTGTTAGGAGCTGAACAATGTTAAAACAGTATATTTTGTTAGGAGCTGAACAATGTTAAAACAGTATATTTTGTTAGGAGCTGAACAATGTTAAAACAGTATTATCAAAAGCTGCATTAAATTTAAAAAATTTAAAAACCTGTTGAGTTCTGTAGGAAGTATGATCTAGGATATGTGTAACTTTGTGGGATACCTGTGCTACTAGGTTTGTCTTCTGCAGCACTCAAGGGTTACTATCTATTCCAGCCTGAGTCACAAACAGGGCTGTATTCCTGAGGACTTCACTGATGTACTATACTTTGTCTTGCAAAGTCACTCCTGTAAGCAACATTACTTCTCTATGATTGGCAAGGTATGAGCACACTTGTAAACAAACATGCTCTGGCGTTTGTGTTGGTCTATCACAACTGAGAGACCCATGTTTCTCTCATAACAGTTGTTCACAAAACAGTGGCATTTTTAAATTTTTTAATTGATGCAATACTCAAACTGACATTGGACAGTTCTGTATCAAGCTTAAGTATTTTACTTGCTATAATAGATCCATAAGTAGTTCTTGTGAGAATTACATATGTTGTATCCATATCATGTCCAAGGATACAAGAAAGCATTGGATCGTAGAACTTTGTTGTTTGTGTGTACTTTGAATATTTTTTCTAACAATTTATTAACAATTATCAGATGACAAATACAACTAAATATTGTACCCGATAAACTTGAGATCCTTCTGTTTGTTGACAGTGAAAGAGGTGCTGGACACACAGCCACCCATACACACGCACAGGTCCGGCTGTTCCTGCAGAAGAAATGGGATATGACAGATCTACTTCAAGCTGTTACATGGCCAATTATCTGAGGCTGGGGCTTTTTGTCGCCTTCTCTGAGAGATCCAGTTCCAATTTGCTGATCTTGTGTTTAGTTAAAGAGATCACTCTTTAAAGTCTGGATAAGGAAAATGTGTTGTCTCGCATGTCTCGTAAACGGCTAGCGGTCTGTGGAAGGAAAACGATTAAAAGTTAAAGTCGACAGGATCTACTTCATTGCACTGGGTTTTATAACATTTAGCTTGGTCTCTTTCCACTGCTTGTTGAGAGCATTGCCCATAGCACGACTACGGTAGCTCCGGCGACGATTCCCTGGGGTCTCTATAAAACTTGCACTCGTGAACCGAACGAGGTAGCCGAGAAATCTTGTAGAATGATTTTAGTTAGCTTTAAAGTATGGATCTTCTACTTTTCATTCTGCCCTTTTACCAACAATGGAGCACATGCCTTCAAACCAACTCGCGCCTAGGTTTCGTATAAACTACCAACGCGGGTAACCCACACCATGTCCTTCCCCATCCTGCCCCTCCCCCTCCTGCCCCCCCCCTTCCACACACACACACGCACGGGTCTTCTACCAGAAGGTTTGAAACCCTAAGAAAACAAAACCCTAATCTGTATGGCAGACCCACCGGGCAAATCCCAGATATCTATTTCAACCTCAAAGAGCACTGGTAACGGCCACGCTTAGATGGAATTCCACGCAGCCCTGTACTGGTAGGGATTACAATGCGACTCTCACACATTCTTGTCGTTGTCCCACTCAATAATGAGAAACAAGCAGCAAATCCTGTTCAACCCTGTCGCCGAGTCATATTAGGCCATCCCCACTGATACCACGCAATCTGCAGTCATGATCATACATACTGATACAGCTACCACGCAGCCCTTCAAAAACTGTGCAGTTCATTGAACTTTTCGGCCATGTTATGAGAAGAGGGAAAATAAAACATATTGTGACCTCTGGAAAGATCTGTGGATTGAGGGATAGAGGAGGACAACGAGAGAAGATGCTTGATAGTCTTGTTGCATGGCATGGAGGTGTGTCGGCACACGAACTGATACTTGCTGCAGGAGATCGCAGATTGTGGAGAGGCATGATCACCCACGGCAGTCGGCAAGGCACCTGATGATGATGAATGAATGGGTGATTTATGAAGCAACTTTCCATTTGTGAACGCTAAGATAAAATATAATCTGGTGTAGCCTATGGATTAATTCAATCCGCATAGTTCAAACCGCTGTCATAATTATATGTCATCATCTTCTTCTTCAATCCTTCTGTCAGAAAACTTATATCAGGAGGCCGGTAGCCTTTATGAAAGCTTTCTTGCAATCCATATCTTCTCGTGTACCATACAGTTTTGTCTCCATTGTGGTTGGTTGGAACAGGCCAGATTGCGTCTCTGTTGTCAGCATACAGGTGACAGTGTTGGAGCACATGCTCAGCATTTTTGGGTGCCACGCTGCAGGGACACGTCTCCGTATTTCCTACACCGAAAAATTTGAACATATGTTGACGAAATCAGTTGTGGCCAGTCCTTAGTCTGAATATAATACACTGCCCTTCTCTAGCGAGGCGATAAAGCGAGTCTTGGGGAGAAAATCTGGTGTGTGTATCCAGCCACCTTTCTTGGATACTAGCTTGTAAACACAGTCTCGTCTGCGTGTGACTGGGGTCATTTGCAGATGCATGGAACAGCAGTAAAGAACACTATAAGGCTATTCCTTCCTGTTATAATATTCAGCTGCACAAGTGTTGAGAGATGACAACGGATATTGCGGTTTGGTATGAGTTCATTTTGAAAAATAGACAGAAAGATAAAGAGCATGTTCTGAGGTTTTGAGGGAAGACTTATCAGAAGATATTTGGGATTCACATGCGAAGATAAAACCAGCAATTCTAAAATTACAACAGATGACAGACTTAGAAAATGCAAGTTTAGAAATCAATGTAGGTGGATTGGACATGTCCTCATAATGAAGAAAGAGAGAAGACCAGAACAGGTAATACAATGGACACCACAAGGACAGCGAGGAAGAGGTCCAGAGGCACTTGGAGACGAACTTTTAAGGCTGAACTCAAAGCTACACAAAGGACACAACTGGAGGACGGCTCATGATCGAATTATGGTGACAGTTTGTTTCCGCCCTATGTGCCCCTGGGCGCGATGAGGATTGATTGATTGATTGATTGACGAGTTGATTGACGGTCTATGCTCTGTTGAAGTATAAAGGCGGAAAAAAGACCAGAAGAAGGAGAAAGAAGAGGAGGAGCAGGAGGATTCAGGAACTGTGGACCTGGAAGCCTATATATCAATGATAAAACTCCACATGTGTCCAGATTCGAGCCCAAGACGATCAGACCGACAGGAAAGTTGACAAACCTTGCGGTTCAGGGACCTTGAGTCCGTTAAAAAAATA